TGTATATATATATATATACATAAGTTTTGTTTATCAACAAAGTACCTGGCTAACATTCTGTGTTTGTGATTATGATACAATTTCCATCATAAAGTGGTATCTCTTAATTATATTCTTAAAAGATTTAGCTATAGTACATTTCTGAACAGTAATAGATACAAAGAAAATTGCTAATAAACTTGGAATTGAATAACACAACCAAAAGTTATTCTGAAGAGAAACTGAATTGCCATAACTTATAAAAATAGTCTAAATTTATCAAATAACAAGATTTTTTTAAATTTTTTTCCATATTCTTCTTGTTTCTTTTAAAAAAAAAACTGCAGGTTTTTTCTTCTTATACTAACCATTACTTTATTAAATATCCAGTTATTAAACATTAAAACTTATATTAAACATTGCATTTGTTCCTTAAAATAACTCAATAATTCTCTAAATCTTCAACTAAAAACTACAGCTAATTTTTCACTGGTCCAGCATAGGGAAGTGAAATAATCCTACAGTGTGGAAAAAGAATATGACACTCTAATTAGAAATTTACAAATCAAAGAAAAACAAGAGTATTTTATAAGTAAAAGGGTTCTTTTTTTCTATAATGATTGCAAATTGTAACCAAAACTTCAAAGCTTAACTCTTGAAGCTTTACAAAGGCCTCGGTGCAACCTTAAATTGTAACTGAAAAAATATCTCTCAGAAAATTATTGCTCAACTTGGAAGATTTTAGATATCTAAAAATGTCACATAAATAATGCCTTGGCACCCCAGAATGAAAGCATTATTCAAAGTATTGAGGCTCTACTACTAGTTCCCAATCCACCTCACCACCTTCAGAGTGGTTTAGCAAAATACTCCTTAATACATTACCCCTTTAATCTACCCTGTGTCATGGTCATGGAGTTACTACTAATTAAAAGCACAAAAGTTACCAAGTTAAACTCACCATATTAATTTTTGGAGATTAACTTCAGAGAAAAAAATAAACTTAAACAAGTAAAATAATATTTTTCTTGTTGTAAGGAATTTAAATACCTGACTTGGTCTACAGAGAATCAAATTTGGCTATTTATACATGTTAAGATATTAGGCATTAAGCAAATATGATTCATGGGCACATTGTCAAAGAAGGTAGATAGGCTTGTATGAAAAGTTGAAATTTCTGAATTTATTAAGTTTTGTTTGTTTGATTGTTTGTTACGATTTCGTGCAAAGCTTCACGAAGGTTATCTGCGATAGCCATCCCTAATTTAGCAGTGTAAGACTAGAGAAAAGGCAGCTTGTCATCACCACCCACCGTAAACTCTTTTACCAATGAATAGTGGGATTGATCATCACATTATAATGCCCCCACAGCTGAAAGGGCGAGCATGTTTGGTATGATGGGGAATCAAACCTGCGACCCTCTGATTGTGAGTCAAGTGCCCTCAACACCTGGCCATGCCGGGTCAATTTATTAAGTGGAGATCAATAAAGTAATTTTATTGTAATTTTGGTTTCAATGGACACTTGATCACCAAAATGTCTTTCCTCCCAGGAGGGGAAATTTTTAATAAATATTCCATTAGGGCTAAAACTACATGATCATAATTACATTTTCAATGTTTTACTGATAAAAACTCATGAGAAGTTGTACTGAGTATAAAAATAAATAATGTAGACCCTGTTTCTACCCAGTTCCAATCTGGTTTTAGTGTGTAATTCTTTGACATACTTTTTTTTTGCTCCCCAACTTCATTAAACTTTATTAGCTGTGAGTCACCAGAATCTGCTTACTAGTGGAAGCACCTGTACTTGAAAAATGAAATCAAGGATATATAAAAAAATAGAAATTGTATATACATTACAAATAAAAAACAAACATTAAAATTACTGACGTGAAATGCCCAATTATCCATTTTTCCAGAATGATTTATAATGCAAGGTTATAAGGTTCTTGCACTTAACTAAAATTCCATGATGATATATATATATACACACACTCTTCTTACCTTCAAAGCATCAAGTCCAGCTTGCATAGGAGGTCCTAAGATGGTTTCTGTGTCTTGATTATCCATAAACATCTGTGGTATTTGGTCTGCTAAACTACAGAGAGAGAACACTTTGATATAAAATCTTGAGAAATATCAAAGTAAAGTTCAAAGACAATGAGTAGATTACATATTGTCATCACATGAATTCATTTTTGGGTTGATATTAAAACTATATTCTCCATAAAGGTGTTGAGTAATTGTATACGATTTTTTATGAAAATTATTAGATATTTAAGTATATTAAAAATATGATTGTTATTTCTCCTCTGCTTCAGAAGTTTCATTTAGTAGCTTCTTGTGCTTTTAATTAGCAATAACTTCATGACCATAATGTAAGGTGTAAGAAAGGGTTGTTTGCTAGAAGTTAGAACTACATAAGGTACATTCTGTTAAGCCATTCAGAAGGTGAAACAAAACAATATATTGTAAAAATATTCACAACCTTGTTGTAGCTCACTTCAACACAACAGTAAATTAGACAACCCATATCCAGAAACACATTTTTAGAATTTTCTCAAAGTTTCAACTCTATTTAATTAAAGAATTGAATTTCCTCAACACTAAACAATATTACCTATCACCAATGGCAAGATTTTAGGAAAAACAGCTAATTAAATACTTCATATTACACAGTACCTGTTAATTACAGACTGGGACTCTTCCACTGTTACAAAAAAACCATCTAAAAGTGGGACAAACGTCTCCTCAACATCAGGTACAACCAACATTTGTGGCTGTACCAAGTTACCCTAAAATTAAAATGAAACAACAATTGCAATACAGATTATTAGTATTCAGTTTAACAAAAACAACAATTTAAGCACTGAAAACTCTGCTTTAAAGTGGAAATAAAGAAGTGATCTATACTTTACTTACAATAAGCAAAATTGTACAAATCATCATACATCTTTATCAATGAATGACTGATAGCAAGAAGTATTAGTGATGCTGTGATCTTTTGAAAAAGGTATATGTTAGAATAACAGGCTTAAATAACAATAAAAAAATTCTACATCCAAAATAGTAGACACTTGTAGATTTGGTTTGGTCTACAAAGTTTAAAAAGCAATAACAATAATCTTTTCAGTTTATATATATTTTACAGTAAAATAGAGGAATACAAAAAATAAAAGTATCATTTAGCTACTTGACCGATGTTAAATTTTAGCTATTTGAACTTGCTAGATATTTCATATCTTATTTAGAAATTAACAGTACATTTATTATTAAAATATCTTCTGTAACAGACTTTACAAACAAAAACAAAAGTTACCACATTAAGGCTTTTACCTACAGCTGAAAATATTTAAAAGTAAATTACTGATATAAAATTTGTAATTATTTCTATGAAAACTTCAAAAAATGTATACACATTTAAGTTTGTTGTGTGTGTATGCATGCAGGAAAATATTCCTTACAACTACTACTGTAGCAAGTGAAAGAAATTCCAAGTTCTGAAGTCTATACACAAATACCATACAATTATGAACAATACTTACATTTCACTTGAACTTAATTAAAAGCAGACAAAAATAGTATGAATGGATGTGAATTTAATGTATGCTCTTATAAACGCAACTTTCACAAATAAAGCAAACAGCCATAAAACCTACAAATGAAAAATATAATAATAATAACAGGATAATAAAAATTACCTTGACATTATAGAAATGAACAACATTGCAGTATGTAACAAAACCAACTTTAACAACAGATGCTGGTGCTCCCACTTCCCTGTAAAAAAGTAAAAAAAATTATAAACCTGTAAAATTGCTTGTAACTTTGTTTTGAGAAAGCAAAAACTCAGACCAAGTGTGAATGAAACCTGTAGCTCTACTTGCCACCAGGTGTTTTAATCAGTTAATCTATAAAGGTCTCAAATGATACAAATTTCAGTTTTAACTCTGCTGGGTTAGTAAAGATTAGTTGCTGATCAAAAACAGCAATAAATAGATTTTAAGCTGAAACAGTGAACTGGAAAAAAATAACAACCTTTACAGTTCACATCCTGACAAAACAATAAAGTTAAAACCGAAATTTGTGTCATCCAAGACTAAAGAACTCAGATCATTACAGCACTTGTTGGATAAGCAGGGCACATCTTAAGGCCATTCAATCTAATTTTTTCTTCAAAACGTTACATTTGTAGGGAAATTAATTATTTTATCCATAATAAACACAAAAACATTATTACAATATGCAAAAATGTTACATCCAAAAACAAAAGTTAAATTTGTTTAACTGGGGACAACATAGATACTCACTGGTATGTGTTAAATTTTTTTTTTCTTCTGAAAACTGGTACAGATGAATACTTAAACTAAAAATCAAAATATAATGAAATACTTGAAATTTGCAAGTTACAAATATTAATAATTCTTGAAGTCATGTATAAAATATATTTAGCTTTCTAGCTAAAGCTGATTGCACTGAATAAAGAGTAAACACACCTTAGAACACCTTTCCATACAGCTTTACAATGGTAATTTTTACAATATTCAAATATCCAACTTTCTTTTGACTTCATTTTCTCATAAATGTCATTGTTTTAACTTATTTTGAACATTTGAAATGGAAGTAGAAATATCTGAGGTTCAGTAATGTTGTTCATCATTTACTTTTTTCCTTTACATGATTCTGTATTACAAATAGCCATTTCCATGTTCAGCTTAACTTTGTATCTATAATTCAGTCTCATCAGCTAGAAAGACATAGATTGAGAGAATTACTGTATATCTAAAATTATGCCCCAATAACTCCAATGCACTCATCTCTTTCAAATTAAAACAGATATTAAATTCTAGCTCAGTCATAATAGCACACAAAGGTGAAAATACATGAGAAATTAACATGTAATTATCCAAAGTACTCACATAGGTATCACTAGTCACTACAGGTATATCTAATGTTTCATGTTACATAAAAAGCATTGGATTGACAGAGTTCTACTTGGTGTTCCAAGTGATTTAGTTGACAATAAGATATCCTGAGTGACAACAGTTGATTGATTCACAGATCTGGAGGAATCAGCACTTCAGTGTCTACACAAGTACTCATAATGTGTTTTGTGCTTTAGATAATAACAAAAACTGTTTCACACTTTATATTATGTTTCCAGTCTGTTTATTTTCTTAGCTTAAAGCTCAGTCATTTCTCACATGGGAATCAGTTTCACCCAGTTCTAAAACTTACCACATTAATGTAGTTTTAGCTTCAAGCATTTAATATTAGATTTTGTTTTTTATGATTTTTTTTATGATGTGAAATTTCCAAACTTTTGTTGTAAGATACTGATTTAATAAAACAGTTAAAACACTTTTCCTTAGTTTTGGAATTTCGTTTTTTTCATGTTGATCAAAAAGTTTTACTTCATATATCAAATCAATTTCAAAGAGATTAATATTTTTTTAATATTTGATTTTCCAAATTGCAGTAGTTACTACTTTCAGCTATGAAACTGTTAACATAAATAACTGACAAAAAATTACTGGTGATCTAGGACCAGATTTTTCAAAATGGTGTCAAGTTAGACTAGTCACCAGTAGTTTTGCTAAACAATATTCTTAATCAAGATCAATTTGTATCTAATAAATATAGTTCCATTTTAATAAATTATAAGTGACTTTGTTTATGCACATTGCTTGAATATGATAAACTTGACAGTAATATTAAATAAATAATGATTTGAGTCAATGGAATATTTTGTCATTGCCTACTGTACTCACTAAACATAACTATGCTTACCTTATGTTTTGTCACAGAAAAGAATTTCTTTAGCTTTCAAATACAATTTAATTAATAAAATATATCCTGGATCTAAAGCAGAATAAAATGAATTTACATCAGTCTTTATACATTTTATTCTGCTTTAGATACTGAAGATGGAATGTGATAGAATTCCGAAACGTTTATCCATTTCCTGGATCTGTGGTTTATTTTTAAGTCTTCTAAACTGCCTATTAAATTGTTGTTTTTCACTGCAGGAGCTAAATCTAATCACTTTTCCACAAAACATAAATTACTTCTCATACCATTTTATTTTCTCTATACTCAAGAAATAGCTAATAATCTGCTCTATTAAATGATATTTAAGTTCTGTCTACAGCTGTTTTCAAAGCTGACTTTCATTTGTAGTTCTTTAGATCAAAAGGGTGGGAATGAAAGCCAGCACTAATAAACCCAGAGAAAGAGAAGGAAAATAACATGAGAAACTAAACATGGATAATTATACTCCAAAGGGATGATAGTTTCTTAGCAAACATAAACTTATGCTTTATGATGAGCAGAAACATTCTAGGAAAATTCATAAGTGCATTGTTACTAGGTGAAGCACCTAGGAACTATGCAAAAATTAAAGATTTAATTTTGTTTTTATTTTCCATTGCAAATTACACTAAATAAATGTTCCAAAATGGAAAAAGAGATAAATTCTAAAACATTTTTGTGATAAAAACGTTGAAATATAGTTAAAATTATTATTTTTTAGTCAAATTTGGAAATCTGATATGTGAGTGTACACTTGACACATGAATAGGATTAATTTAACATTAGGGTGATAACAAAAATGCTACTTCTCAAAATAGAGGATAAAAAATAAACTTGCCTAATGTAAGTATTATAAAACCAAGCTTCATCTAGTAATATTGTGTAACAAATGTTGAAAAACTGAAGTTTGTTGTAAAAATCTTGATATTATTTTTTATTTACTCATATTACATAATTTTTAGAAACTATTTTTTAAACCCTATGTAACATACACAAAACTGAGTATAGATGCAAAAGTAAGTTTAACAGATTTCATAATAAAAACTTGTCATACATTATATGTACGTTTTTTATCAGTATTTTACTATAAAGTTGAATGATACAACTTAATATTTTATGCAACTATGTAAAATCACTAATGTAATTACAATAGATAAATCATTCAATGATTTATAATTTCAAAGACAATTTTCTTTATATTTATCATTAAAGGTAAAATGTTGTAAATGTTCTCTGATTCAGTTGCAGTTTGTTAGTAGCCCCTGGATTACAACCACAGTATCAAACTAACATATATGCCTAGCCCAGAAGCTGTAAACCTTTTTTTACTAACAAGTTTTGAGAAATGTACTGTAAAAAGAGTTTTGTGTGCCTTCAGTACCAGGCCCCATCAAAAATTATTTCTACTATAGCACAATATTTAGATCTGTATAAATGGTATACTGTAAATTTAGTGACCTCTCACCTGCAGTATTTGGATAGAGAAAGTATTTTGGGCTTGTTGTGAAAGTTGATTATACTTTTTCTCTAAACCGGTATGGCACTACTACACGAGAGAGAAATATGTCAAAGTTCAACTTAATTTCTGATCTATTGTTTACAGGAAGGGTACAATTTTCTAATATGAGTTTGCTAGAAGCAGTTGAAACATATACATGCAAGTTTTTATCCAGCATGATATCCTGTACTAGAACTCAACAACAACAACTGTCTCATAATATCCATAGTAACTATGATTTTGGGATGAAATGTTTTTGTGATATATGGTAGATTCAACCGGAAAAAAAAAAGGAATCTAATCACCAAACCTAAAAATGCATTTCAGACATTAATAATACTACAGTACATTAATATAACTCTGTTGAGTGTCCAGCTGAATTTTAGTTTGGCTTGAAGATCAGGTTTATTCCATTAACAACCGTTTATGATTTTTTTTACCTTTCAATTTTTCTATTATTTTTTCATAAATACATATATCAACTTCTGCTGCAAAAAAAGAGCCAGAAATTAATAAAACAAGTACTTCACCAAGTCATCAGAAATGAAAAATGTATTTGAATCCCAATATGAGTATGATTAAGTTATAAAACAAACTGATTTTTCAGTAAAATGTATATTCCCCATTATAATGAGACATGACTATTTATTAATATTAATTAAAAGCAGTTACATTACAGGACTGTTTTTCAAAGTATTTTAATAAACCAGATGGAAAACATTTTTAATAATGATAGTTGTTGGTCTCATAAACCTGTGAACACGTATCTTGTGTTTCTATTTGCCAACAATAAAAACTATCTTTTCAAATAACTGTCTGAAGGTAATTATGAACTCCTTATCTAGAACAAAGAAGTAAATGAAACATATGAAAAGATCAAAGATTAGTACAAATATATATCTATATATATCTATACACAACATTTTACACGACAAAATCAAAAGCCACATATTAATTAGGATAAAACAATCTTATGTTGTACTATGTTGATTGATATGTACTTGAATTTCTATGTTTTGTCTGTGTGTGTGTGATAAGTTATTTCTCACCAGTTTTGTTAACAGAATTCAATTCCTTACAACACATATGACTAGTTAGTTCATAAACTTGTCACCCATAAAGTGACATTTAAACAATTTCTGTTGTTCCTAATTCAAAAATGCCCCTCTGTACCATACAGTGAAATGTATTGGTAATTTGTAGAAGTATCTCATTTCCTTAAATTATGCCAGAGATTATGAAATTAAATCAAACATGGAAAGGAACCCAACTTGTTGTTTAATTTTTTTAATGCTTTTAGGGTCTGAATGCATTTTATCAACATACTTTGGTAATGAAGTCAACACTTGCATCATGTTATCACAGAGGAACTTCACCATTCCATTCCTGATACTGTTGTGAGATACATCAATCATGAAAATAAATACTGGTGGCTTGGGGAATACTCCATTCTGAAATTAAACAAATTATGAATAAATTTCAAATTGATGGAGGTAAGAAATACTTCTTCAGATAAACATGAATAATGATATTATTTCATTTTGATAACATAATAAAAATTAAAGTTACTGGCTTAGAAAATACTTCATTATTAAAATATAGAATGTGTAACTTTGTACAAGCTAATGTACAACATGTACAAATGAAAATTTTATTCAATTTATATTTGATTAATTAGATGTTTATCTAGGTATTTTAAACCTTTATTAAACTATAAAACCTTCAGTTTCTTATCTGTGTAACCGTCAGTGTAAATTTTTCTTGAAAATGTAAAAAAATCTATCAGATTATTATAATATTTGTTTACAGAATAACTAGTGTAATATTTTGAGTGTTAAAACAGATACCAAAATATTTTACCTGGTATATTAAGTATGAAATAGAATATTACAAACATAATTACATTAAAACCTATAGTGTCCTCTTTTAAAACCATACCAGACTACCACCACCACACAAAATTATATCAGAATCTCTGAAGCTTTCCTTACATTCAAAAACATATAAGACCACCACCAAACAACTAATACCAGAATGTAGTTATTCTTTAAAAAACAAAACAAAAAAACACCATACCACCACCAAACAACTAGTACCAGAATGCAGTTATTCTTAAAAAACAAAAAAACCATACCACCAACAAACAATATACAAGAATCTACAAAATATTTTCTTAAAAACCATACCACCCAAACAATATTACACCAGAGCCTACAAGACTTTGTCTTAAAAAACACACTACCACCACATGAAATGGCATTAAAACTTACATTCTTTCTATAAACCATACCAAGAATGAACCAAATTTATGATTAAAATTTGGAACATGAACTCACAACAATTGCATGCAAACCTTGATAATATTTATAAAAGGCTTTCAACATTTTTATAACTATGTATATAAAACCAAATTCCCTTTATGTTCCTGACTTTATTTCTCATATATTGCTATCCCATAATTATTTAACCTTTTAACCTTGACAAACTACTTCATTTGCTTTCATGAAATATTTTACTCCAATGACATGTTTACATAAACAAATGAATCCATATAATACAATATTTTTTTAATGGAAAAGTTATATGCAACTTTCCTTTAAGATGCTAATAATGAATCAATACTCACACATTTTTAATCTTCCATTATTTTGATATAGGTTTATTGCCAAATGCATGAAATGTTTAAGTTAATTTTTTACTGTCAGTGCAATATCTAAAACACTTTTAATCTCATTTTACAAAAGAATGTCCAAATACTTCCTGCTTAATTTTAGATACCTAGTTGCAATGTAGATACATGATCTGCTCTAGTTTTAAGTTTATTTTTAGTATTTGCACACAAAGCTATATAAAGGTTATCTGCACACAACAATCCTTAATTTTTGAACAGACAGACTAGAGAGAGAGAGCAACCAGTCAGCAGCATACACTGCTAACTTATAGGCTGCTCTTGCCTGACTGAATAGTGAGATTTGACCATCACCCATACATAGAGATTGAGTATGTTATATTAAAACAATTTTGAAGCCTCACCACATCATCATATTCCACGTTACTATATGTGTTAATTTTTTATCTGACAACCTTGAATCTTAACAATAGCCCTGCAACATAGTTTCCAGTGAAAGAGGCTGCCATGTCCAAATTATGCCAATGCTCTCTGCAAGCAATCCATAAGCCATCTAGTGTACAAGGATCATGGTTTTCCAATGTCCATTTCAACAATACAATTGCTGTATCTGGCAACTTGACTGACATATCTTTATATGAAATAGCATGAACACCCATTTCATTCTCCTGCTGCTTGAAATATGCAGTGGTTGAATGGATATGTCAGGGAAGCAACTTATATAGCCAAATTGTTTTACCTTACAAGATGGAGGTCCTTCTTGATTATGATGCATAATTTCTGGTCATGGATTCTAACCTATAACAAGATTACACTTTGCTTACTATGCTTGGGGTATGACTTCTTGCATATCTCTTTCTGGATGATGCTGGTGCCCCAAGATGATCCACATTCCTTTGTTTTCCAATGTCATTTAATACAAGAGATAGCTGCATCTTAAAAATTCTATACTGCCAAATTGAACACATCTTTCTGATTTGAGTGTATGAATGTTTTGCTTCAGAAAGAACTGTTACATACTCTTCCCAAAAGTGACCAATTTTTAATGGTATCACACTACCTACAAAATGCCAAACAATGTCAAAAATATATTCTGATACATGCTCTTCCACTGTAATTTTATATTGACTGTGATTGTCACACAAGTTTCTGATGTGCATACTCAAAGTAGTTTTAATGTAATGTATTAAACCTTCTGTAGTGCATCCATAACACCAAAGTACAAAATATACTTCTCTGGTAATGAGATAAAAGTCATGATCCCTCAAATTCATAGTCATGGTAGGAAAACTACTAGGCCATTCTCAGTCCTTAAGTTAAGAATAACAACTTTATTTACACTTGATATAATTTTTGTTTTCTTTCAGTGTATAAATGTGCATTAAATATTATGACCAACAAATTTTGATTTTTTTTTTACTAAAAAACATTTTCCACTTTCTATTAAATACTTGTCATATTTATTTGTACACTACAAAGTAAGACAACAGTGAAAGGCCATGACAGTACAGCTGTGCAAGCATATACATGTGTGTGTATACGTATGTGTGGACAAATCTTCGTGATAAAAGAGTAGTGGAGTAACAATTATTTGCCATACAAGTTTAGCCTTAATAAATAGTAGGATCATTATGGAACAAACACATACATATAAAGAGAAACATGGATTGATACTGTAATTAGTTCACATTTGTTGAAGTAGATGCATTAATCCAGTGTTTCCCAACTGCTATTCCACAGGCAGATTTCAGCTGGTCCACAAAATAATTGAAAAGAAAAAAAAACGTTTTAAAATGTAGCTATTGAAGTATGTTGTAATTTCAAAGTTAATATTGTACCAAGTGGTACATGAAATTTTAGGAACAGAATTATGTGGTCCTCAACTGGAAAAAGGTTGGGAACCACTGCACTAACTTATGTATACATATACAGACATATCCTAGATTTTGCTCAATTTTGATCATTCTTCATGCACAATGATGTTTGTGTATTATATTTCGTATTAAATGTTTTTCTTAGTTATTGTTCTTACCTTGCAGTAGTCTTTTGTGGTTAAATATTCATAAGATCCAAGACACAGTTCAGGTCTTTGAAATTTGTCTATTCTCTGTCCCATATGATCAAGATGGTTAATATACTCGTGAGGAACTGCAATACATGTGCACTGGTAAACAGCATAAAACTCAACTAATCACTAGTCCATTAGGACAAAAATAAAAAAAATAAACAACAATTGGAACTGTGCATTAATCTGTTCATAAAACACTAGCAATTCTAACAATCAATTACTCCAAAAACTGTTAATTAACTAGAGAATAAATCAAAAACTGAAGATTCTGGCAGACAGTTAAAACATTAGTATTCGCCAAGGACAGGCAGGTACCAATCATTAGATCAAGCAATATAAAGTTATTTGTGCATAGGTCATTAGAGCAAGTGATGATCAGTCAAACAAAAATGTATTTGTAATACTTGCCCCTAACTATAAAGTTAATCATGCACTGCTCAGTTAAAGAATAACAGAAGTTCAATAAAGCACTGATTAATGCCATAGTTTTTACTATATCAGAGAGATGAAAGCACCAAATCTTGACTATTAAATGAGCAGATTCTTTTAACAATGGATCTTCAAACTTATTGTACTGAAAAACCAAATTCACCATTGAAAGTTGTTTATGATTTGAAATAAACCATTAAAAAGGCATGTTTATGAATTAGAATAAACAATTAAAGTTTGCTTTCTTTGAAAGATGATTTAGGCAGAGTATACATGATGAACAAAAATAAATTAAATGAGAGGCAACTGCCTACTTGTGGGGAAAGTCTTGGAAGACTAATCTACAACAGTAGCTCAGGTAGAAAGGATGATGTTTCAAAAGCCTTTCTTCTTCAGGTAAGCTTACACTGGTTTTTGCAGGGAGTTATATGGTGTCTGAGAGGATTGAAGTAGATGTGATGTGACTGGCTGTTGGTTCTTGTAAAGTGGTTGGTGTAACAAGTGATGATTTGCCCAATGGTAGCCACAAATTGTTGATTTCAAAATGTGAATCTATTTAGCAATGATTACAAGAACCTTCAAATAATCATGGTGTGGCCACTTCATTCCTCCCGAATACCATACAAGTTCCTGAAAAAAACCAGTGTAAGCTGACCTGAAGATGAAAGATTGAAGGCATTCAAAACATCATCCTTTTACCCGAGCTACTTTTGTAGATTTGTTCTCCAATACTTTCTCTACAAGTGTCACTCTGAACTAAGCAGTTACTGCTCATTTCACCTTTGTTTGTTCAATTGAAGGATGCATTTATAATTTCAAATAGACCAATAGAAAGTATCTTCATGATGTGAATTAAATTACTAATAAAGCTGTTTTCAATTGGGTAATACACAATGTAACTTAATTTCTTAATTTTTAACTAAAAACTTCCCTACAAAATTATATTGTAACTTTACCCTATTAGCTTTGTCAGAATTACCATCAAAGTAATTAATTAATAAAATTTCCCATCTCTTCACCAATAAACCTTAAATTTAGAAACATAATGCATTTGAGTCATCAAAATATTAAGATATTGTAAATAACATCAAATTAATAGTAGTTTGTTCTATTAGTTGTTTGCAAGACATTTATACTAATGAATATGCATGCTGAAACACGGATAATTAACAATTGTTTTGGAAATGGCTCATTTTTAGGACTAAATAGATGAATCTGTTAATTTTATCATAGCTCTATGGAATATCAGAATGTTGTGTTCAATTACACTTTCCATAGGCAGTAAAACAACTATAAAGATGAAAAGTGTCAAATGATAATGTGAATTTCATGGTGAAAACTCTTAAATCCCAAATATGGATGTTGTATGTGTTTATAGTTCAAAAATCAAGTCTCTTTAATACAAAGATAATGAACTCAGCATATTTTCTTCACATATTTAGATAAGTTCATTAGTAGCACTAAAGAATCATCTATCATCACCAAAGTATTGGAAAGACCATCTAGTTAACAAGTTTGAGTAATCAATTTAGGAGTACGATAAAAAAATCATGATAAACCATAGAGAAAGACCTTGTTAGAAAATTTTGATGAACTGGAATGAAATCTACAATGGACCAAAGTACACTGCATCAGAAATCAAAAAATTTAACAGAGGTAGAATATATTGCAAACACACATAGAAATAGAAATCTGAAAATAATGTTAGCCTATTAAATAAAGCAGAGGCTAATTATTTATAAACATCAACTTATAATTTGACAGCAATTTAAAATGGATATACAATATAGTGCAAAGCTTCTGAAAAAATAGACCAGTGGAAAAAAAACTTAATAACAATAATCAGAGAAAATCAATTCAACAACATCCTCACTTTTAACCATGTCCTGCCACAAGTCACAACTAGAAATACAGTCTTGTATTTACATCTCATGCATCAGATGAAAAAAAATACAGAAAATAAAAAATATAACAGCTGTATCTAAAAATATAATGTAATAAAATATTAAGACATTGTAATAAGTGGTGGTATGAGCTTTGATATATCCCTACAACAATTTTTTACCCATGAGCTTACATATATACATATAATGTATACTGGGATGATACAAAAGTTTAGATAATAACATACTGGTGTGGGAAAACCAAGAAACTTTCATTCCTCTCAATTGAAACAGGTGTATATAAATATATATAGAATATATATATGTCATATATATTCAGAAGATGTCATCCTATGGAATAATGATGCTACTGTTGCTGTAGATAACGGAGATGAAGACAATGTCCACGGTGATGCCACTTATGGTGACGAAGAGAAGTTGTGCCAACTATTTCAGGACAGTAATTTGGACTAAGAATTTGAAGGTTTCACCAAAAATTATTTGTAGTTTTGGATTTCAAACATAATGTAGTGACAACTAGTTCTGTATTTCTATGCATTTCTAACTCATAGGAGGCACACTGCAAGGTGACCTACGAACCCTATTTGCTTATCACATGCGGTCATTAGCAGTTGCAGTTAATCGTGAATTTGATGTCACAAGTCATTCTTTTGCTCATTGATTAGTAAGACTTAAAACTACTAAATAGTAACACTATACTGACAATAAAGTAACAATATTAGAAAAATATTATATTCAACGTTTCATGATGAACATTACTGAAGATATACCTCATGGTTTTGCCTATCATATTATAACCTCATTTTGAATTAGTTGTTGAAACTGACAGAAGAATATTTAGAGTTTAATGTAACTTGTACTGATATTACTGTATTTTTAAAATGAAATACAATTCGTGGTGTTTCAAGATCACCTTGCATGGTCTTTTTTTTTATTATGATAAATTTCTTTTGCATATGTATTTAAAACAAGCTGTAGGTTGTATAGTTCTCTCATCACTCATACCTTTATATCCAAACTTGACTTGTATCGCTATATACACACTAATTATGAGCTACAATGAGTCATACAAACTCACTGTTTACACTAGATTGTTTGACACTTTCACTTGACAAAACTTTTAATTTAGTTAGGAAAATGTATTCTTAACATTTGAATAATTGTAAAATAATAGTTTTGTTTTCCAAGTTGTTAAAAAGAGCTGTTGCAGTTATTTTTAGAATTACTTTAATTCATAACCAAGTCCTCAACTGGCAAATAAGGAATGAACAAAGTTCCTAAGGAAGGGAAATCCACCTATCAAGTGGAAAATAGATATCCAAATTGTGAAATCAACCATAAGCTTACATACACACACATGCATACATACATACATACATACATACACTGGGATGTCACAAAATAAGTTTATGTATCTATAAATAAACTTATATAATGTACATATAAGTATATATTATTTCTTAAATAATTTAAATGAGAATTCACCTCTATTCACAGATTTTTTTAAAATAACAATACAGAAAGTAAGTGCTTAATTTAAGCACGAAATTAAATGTTACATGAATGAAAACAAATGAATCAATTTTAGCTAAGAAAATTAACCTTTACTAATTATGAACTATAAGCAAGGACAAAAAAGAAAGGGTTGCATGAAGAACATTCAATAAATAAATCACTTCTATGTAAGAATTCATCTCTGCCAATTATGTTGTGTAAACCAGGCACGAACAGAAAATTTCTAAAAACTACAATTACCAGATGTTAACATTTTCCTACACTGAAAATGTATTTCTGATAGATACTTACCTCTTATCATGCAATGGCTTTCCTCGATTTGTACTGCCCTCTATATGCACAATTTTAGCTTACCACATACCATCACATGTTTACACATGGTCTGTAGCATGCAACAACACTCCACCAATAGGAGTGTGAAACACCTTCCTAGCACAGCTGACTCTCTCTATATTGTAGAGTACAATCATCATTTGGAGATTAGACAAAAAAGATGCACCAGAAGTGGGAAGGATGGGTGAGAAGTGTGAGAAGAGGTAAGTATCTATCTGAAATACATTTTCAATGAAGAAAAATGTTAACTTCCAATACAATAACTTACCTCATCTCACATAATAACTAGAATCCCACACTGAAATGGTGAAGGGACCATGCAAAAGTTACTTAGATGAGCACTTTTCGGAAAGTGCCAAAGAGAATCCATGGTGTGTGGTATCCTAATATATAAGGTCACACCCATGGGAGACCACACCCCATCTTTACCAGATATACTCTTCACTATCTGTAAAGATACATGTCCCTAAATTGGGTGGAAAAAGAGACTTATCGAATCTGTAATTGGATGTGCCAGATGGTATAGAGTGGGTAGGGCATGTCAGACCATATTTGGTGGATTAACTCCAGTCCAAAACTAGGAAGCATCCAGTATTTGTCTTGTGGGCCATGGTAGGAAGAGGGTTCCAACCATCTATACCTCAAGCCCAGAAAGCAGAAGGTAAAAGTAACTTCCATTCCAACAACCCAGGCAGAGCACATGTGTGCAGACTCAGTACACAACCAACACCAGGCCACCTGGAAACCCGACATCATAGGTGATGGTGGGAAGGGGGAATGCAAACGTGGCAGGTCAACTCCAGTCCTAAACCAGGTGAAGTCAGAAATGTTTTGTCTGGTTCACAGTAGGAGGACTCACAACAGCTCACCCCTTCAGCTGGCTTTCCCCCATCCTACTGCTCCCTGGATGTTGGTTCCCAGACCACCCAACATAAGTCTTCAAACATGTGGTGGATTCATCCAGTCCAAAACAAGGTGGCATCAGAAACTTATCTTCTGGTCCACAGTAGAAGGAGAGTACTCACCATCTACACTAACAGAACACCACCACCCTACTCTCGACTGAGTGGAATGGTCTCACTCGGGAGGAAGCCCCCATGGTCCACCACCCAAATGGCTAGGTACTGGTATGTGACAAGGACTCCCATACTCTACTGGAAGAGGGGTGGAAAAACACAGTGGGGAGTCCAAATGAATACAACACCATAAAACAGTGCAATGAGTGACAACAAAAACCCTATTTTGAAAAGCACTCCAGTCCTGGTTTATTCAACTAGGACTGGAGGAATGAGCAGTAACCCCAACACTGCTTTGCTCATGATAGTCCATGAATCGGTGTGGTATGGTATGGGCTTTCTTTATGATGCAAGATACCTTGAGGAACCCTCTAGCAGTCTTGTGAAACACCCTCATCTCATCAGTGAGTGCAGATTTACAGTTAAGTATACCTGGACAGGCACCATTTGCCACAAAGTGGAATCCAGGGATGTAGAAAGATGCTACTGTAAAGATAAGAAATAAAAGAGTGAGAACTTATCCATTCAGAGTCTATAAAATGAAAAATAGCAATGGGTGGCAAGTGATAATCACATGAGAAAGAGATGTCCACATGATGCAGGTAATGAGCGACAAAAGTATGAGGTATAGTCCACATGCTAGTCTGCATAATCTCCTCTAATGGACAATGGAGCAGCCAGGGAAAGGGTGAGATGATCAATCTGGTGAGAAGAAACTTAGAAGATATGACGAGAATCCTCTTTCAATGACGCATAAGTAAGACAAGTAGGTTGATGAAGGTAAAGGTTACAGGTAACCGGTAAAGGTTAAAAGTGAGAGATCCTGAGTAGAGGATGAATTCCATAGGATAAATAGATGAGAACAAGAGCAACAAAAAGAAGCAGTGCAGGCAACATAACAACAAAGAGCTCTCACAGGACAAAGATAACAACTGAGATCAGAATGTGAATATAGCTTGAAGGGAAACATGCATGAACGTACTGTCCCCTTCACATGCCTACACCATTTTGGGGAAAAAATATGATTGGGAAAAAGAAGAACATATGAATGATGATAAAGAATGTGGTAAACATCAATAGCAAAGATCTCTGACAAATGACATCGACATGCAAAAAAGGAGTAAAAAATAAGTCTTGAGGGAGAGATGGTACATAGAGCAAGAAGCTAAAGGTAAGGGCATTAAGAACAACACTGAGATTCCAATCTGGTGGGGCAACTGGGTGGGGAGGATGAAGAAGTCAAAAGGAATGAAACAGGAGAGAGAGAATAAGAGGGGGGAAAATATGGTAGAAGCGGGAAAAATGAAAACTTTTGGATAATACCACTCTATTGTCCACAATAGATAAACCACTGTCAAAGAGCCAAGTAAAAAAGTTGGAAAGTTGTGGAACATTTGGTTGGGAAGATGAGAAAACAAGTGTTGGAAAATGTGCCATTTATGCTGGTAAACCAGCAAAGAAGAGGAGCAGACAGAACAAAAAAGAAGGAAGACTACTCATGTAGAGAATCTGGATCATTTTTCAAAAGACTGGACAAAACCCACACATTGAGATGGAGTGTGTCTTCAGTTGGATGAATGATGAAGAGATAAAGTTGCGGAGAAAGGATTGGGAAAGAGGAAACAGCATGGGAGGAGAGGACTGAAGGAGGTTCAAGAGTGAAAACCAGTTATGTTTGTCAGAATGGAGTGATGAGAAGGACTTGACACACAGTTGTTTGAATAAGAGAGAGGATGCTGGGAAGAAGATGGATAGGAGGATAAGCATATAGGTAAAGGTTGGACCAGCCCTAACTGAATGCATCCACTGCTTGAGCTGAAGAATGCAGAACTAGAGACTAGAAGAGGGGGATTTTAATATAGAGGAGGGTGGCAAATGCATTCAGAAGGGGGGTACCCAACTGGGAGTATAACCACCAGAATACCTAAGAAGCAAGAGACCACTCCATCAGTAGAATTTTGTTGGGACGAGAGAGCTGATCCACTACAAGATTCAGAGCACCCAGGCTGTGACAAGTAAGAAGTTGGACTTGTTGAGATTGAGCCCAGAAAAGAGGATCCAGTGTTTGGAAACATAATAAATGAGACAAGGTTGCATGTTACAGCACAGCTAAAGTATGTGTAAACATGTGAGGAGTATGTGGGAGCACCAAGGCTAGTGGAGAGCAAAAATTGTGCATATAGAGGGCAGCTCAAATTGAGGAAAGCTATTATGTGAGAAGAGGCAAGGTATCGTATTGGAAAATTTTGTTTTCTCTCTATAAGACTTTTCTTTTAATACTGTTGTCTAAGTTAGATAAAAACTACGAGATTATAAAAATACATTCAACAGACTGTTCTATTTGAAAAGAAGATATGCCTTAGAAGTTGTGTAAATAATGCTACATGTAGACACATAATAATCATTTTTATCTGAATGACAAACCTTCCCTATCTAGTGCTATAAACTAAGGATGAGCTCTGATATTGTATAAACAACATTCAACAAACAATTTTTCTTTGATCTGATAACAGTCAGTCTGTAATTATAGATCAATTTAAATTTGTTTGTTTGTCTTAGAATTTTCACAAAAGCTACACAAGTTCGTTTGTAATTAAGCACAAAGCTACACAATGGGTTATCTGTGCTCTGCTCACCACGGGTATCGAAACCCGGATTCTAGAGTTTGAAGTCCACAGACATACCGCTGTGCCACTGGGGAGCTACACAAGAGATATCTCTGTGTAGCACACCTATATATAGCCCCAAAGTGTACAGCAAATTTTTGTGGCAATGTGAAAAGACTCAAGAGCCCTCAGATTAACGGTCTAGGCTTGCTAATTACTATGCCATACCCAGCCCAAGAATTTAACAAGCTGTAAAACTGGAACTTAACAGAAGTATCTTAATTTCAATATGAATTAAAATAATATGTTTGAATGCAAAACACTTTTGTCTGGATCAGATCCTATACATCTCACTCAAGAGTTGAACTGAGAAGTTGTATGAATAACAAACACAACTTTATTCAGTTTAGATGTAAATTTTGTCCTATGTGTCACATTTGATCTTTGTCAGTACTGCTTTACAAAATTGAGATTTTAAAGAACTTCTTATAAATAAAAGTCAATACATGGTTTCATTCCTAACAGAAGAAAACTTGTTTCTGTGAAGGTTTTTTTTTTAAGTTTTCATGCATAGTTTATAACATAATTGGTATTTTTCAGCTACTGTGTTTCGTACATACCCCAGTTTTATCATGAATTACTTGTTATGAAACAGAAACATGTTTTCATATAAAAATTAAAGAGGTAATGTCCATGAATTTCTGGGGTAAACTGCATAAATTTCTTAGAAGTAGAGTTTGAATGAAGGCAGCTTTACTTGTATGATAAAGTACTTGAAAGCATGAAATTTAGATTATACAACTGCTTCTCCTAATAATAAAGCCTACCTTCTGTTATTCCTTTACAAAATGCACAGTGGAATCTTCTTCCACCATCTATAAACTTCATAAATGAACACATGTAGGCCTTACATCTTATACAGCGGACTGGGCCCATCTCACCTAAATTGGAAACTGGAGGGTATTGCTGAAAAGTATAACAGTTTTTTTATATTAATCAGCAGTAATCATCATGCAACTTTAGACAATTTGAAATCATGAAGATAGATGTTTAAATTTACATAGCCTTTTCAATAATGAACTAAATATTAAGGATGATACAACTGAGTTACAATCCTCTAAGTTTTAATACCACAAGTTGAGACATCTATTTTACTTTATACTGCTCTAAATAAGTTAGGTTTTGAAGTTGATATAGGATTATATTTCTTTGTTCTACATGGGTCAACTCAAGAAAATGAAGCAAATACTTCACTTTATATTATTCTAAACTAACCAATTTCATAAGATTAGACAAACAGATGACTAAGTGCATTGTTCTAACAAATTAACTCCAGAAACTAAAATAACTAGTTGAAACTAATCAACTCAACAATATGAGAAAGTACTTTATCTTCTAGTGAAATAATCATTTCAGAAGTTGGAGCAACTAGTCTAACTTGCTCTAAACTAACCAACTCCATAGAATAAAGCAAATAATTTCTCTATCTTTTCCAAAACAAACTATTTTCTGAAATAGTCAATTAGTTTATCTTTTTTTAATTTTAAACACCAGAAATTGTGGCAAGGAGTATGCTTTCTTCCAATTATGTCACCGTCAATATGTAATGTCCTTATCCAAAAACCTCTGTAAACAAGCTAACAATAACTAAACAGAAATACCCACTTCTCCTTCCTTCAGTTTAGCAAATGGACTTATTGTTATTGCAAAGGGAACGGCTGTCTGTTTCAACATTTCAAAAGTTGTAGGAACACTGTAGATTGTGGATCTTACAAAACGAGGGCTGCAATTCCCTGGAAATGATTCACAAAATTAAAAGTTATAATATTAGTTATAGATGAATATTACCTATATTGAAAAATATATATACATATTTACAAATTATTTGTATATTAACTACATACATTTAGTAAAGGATTATAAGCCACCATATAATTTTCTGACACTTACAAGTTGCAATAAGTCATAAAAATTCACTTCAATACCTTGATAATTAATTTTCTGCTTTCCACCTCTCCCATAATAACATTTTACCAAACCTCAAGGCTAGGCAATAAAACTGTCTTCCTTCTTATTTTTTTAACACTATTCATAAAAAAATAAAAGTTGATTATTATGTGACTCTTGTTTTTGTTACAGTATGTTTCATAAATTTTGTTAAGGAGAATAGGTAACCTGCAAACAGCAAGGTGTACTTTGATCAGCAGATCAAGTGACTATAAATTAATAACAATATGAGAAGCCTCACATAATCATATCTTTTACTGTGTACTGTCTCAGTATTCTCTCACTAAAAGCAACTAAAGGCTCAGAAAACAAACTGTTTGGCAAAATGAAAAAACAAATAATTTTCTTTAATGTTAGACAGCTCAGAGGACAACACATTTTTTTTTATTGCACACATCCACAATTTGAGAACTAATGACCAGAATATGTCTACCACGTTGAACTTGTATATATACACACACCTTTAATGTTCTAATGGAATGACATTTTTATGGTCTTGACAATTAACAGAATGTTACGCATTTCTGAAAATTCAAGTAAAATTATAACATAATCTTCCTTTCCCTGACTGATTTTTAAGTTTTCCATTATCCACCAGTTAATGACATCTCTTAATAACTTGAAAACAAAAAGTAAAACCACAGATTTACTGAATAATGTGTTTATTTTCACGAACTGTGATACAGACTCATTATAAAATTAGTATAAACTCATAATAATAATAATAACTGAAACATTCAGAGATAAGTTAAAACTACTAGAGACTATAAAGCAAGTTCAGTTACACAGGTATGGTGAAAAACCATAAATTTCAGTTTAAATGCATACCATAGAAAGAAATGTAACAATAACACCAATTAAATAAAATGTGAGTAAATAATAAAAAAATTAGAATGTTTATATGTATTATGTCATGTTTAACACAACAGAAAACTTGGAATAAATATTTTTTTATGCTTGGTACAAACCAAACACAAGCCTAATGCCAAAACTCCTAAGTATCATGTTGATAATGTAGAAATGTAAACAGATGTTGCTTACAGCCAGTATAAAGAGGGCCATACTCTAAGAATAATTACAGATTTGGTATTTTGCACTATGAACTCATGATTTCATGGTCCAAAAAATTATAAATGGAGGGTTTCTTTTGCTTACAATGTCTATTAACTTCAGGACTATTTGGCTGATTTTTACTAAATTACCAAACAAACCACTGTCTGACCAGGACTTTGATTCATGCAGAGCATGTGTGTGCACACACGGGTATATATAATCAGTGATTCACAAAAGATTTTGACATAATGAGTATCTTACACCTCAAAATAAACTGCAATGCTGAACATTCATGTAGTTTGGGTTTCGTCGTCCAATATCTAAAATTTTGGCACTGTTTTGCTGTATTTACTAAGCTCTTGCTCTTATTTCTATTAAGGATTACCTGAGGCAAATAAGGCATAAATTCATCACAGTAATTACTTTATTGACATTGATCGATAAAACTACTTGTATATATTTTTTTCAGTTTAACAGAAACCTCAAACTACTGGTAATTATCAGCTCGTGATCACTGAAAACTCATTTGTGAATTTTTCTTTTTCTAAGCTCTTGCTCTTATTTCTATTAAGGATTACCTGAGGCAAATAAGGCATAAATTCAACACAGTAATTACTTTATTGACATTGATCGATAAAACTACTTGTATATATTTTTTTCAGTTTAACAGAAACCTCAAACTACTGGTAATTATCAGCTCGTGATCACTGAAAACTCATTTGTGAATTTTTCTTTTTCTCACTCAAACTTGTATTTTCACTGAAGATAAAATCTGTGAATAACATAGATGCCTAATTTATTATGAAATTTGCTACTACTCCTGCAGTAGACTATAGTTTAGTTGAACTATGGCTCTTCAGTACTGCTTGGGAGAGCAAACTAAAGAGATACAATAGGCATTCATGTAGTGGTGGAATACAAACAATATGTAGCGTCTTATCTGGAGAACTGCATAACAATTATTATTACATAACTTATATCTTGGCCTAGACCTTGACTAAAATCAATAGCAATAAAGCAGTGCAGATGTCTTAATACCAATCAGAAGGCCTAAATATAGGTCATGGCAATAAAAATCAAGACTTGAAACTTGTAGATCTAAGCTATATGATATTTTATGTTTTGTATCATTGAACAGCAGAAGTACAGCTTCCCGTTAGTGTTTAGTTCTATAGGTTAACCTAATACAAGAACAAGATTTAGACCTAGATCTAAAATAAATCATAACATCACCACATGTAACATCATTTTGATATTTACACTCAAAACTTCTTATCTCCTGATCTTGATCTATCTACATCTAGGCTGGCCTACTAAGTTCTAGGTTTTAGCTATGTGGCAATATGTGTTTGAATCAGAAATTAAAGTATCCAGACAAAAACAATAATATTCAAACAGAAAATAATATTGGACATTTGCTGTGAATGCTCATGAATTTAGAGACAAAGACAAAAAAAAAGTAATAAATGAACAAATTACTGTTTGGGGGGGAGGCAATTTTGCTTTTTATGACAATAAAAATCTCTTCTGGCATCTAGAAATTTTGACAACTGGGCTGGAGTGGCATTTGAAAAAAAGATAATTTTGCATCCATGAATTACTGAAAGTTCATAACATTGTCACAGACTATGTAAATCATGGTCAAACAGGTACAAGCAAAAAAATTTGGCATTCTAATGTTTTTACCTACACAATTAAATCAGATATGATCAAGCCTGGTGAACATCCATTTTTAAAAAAACATTTTTCCATACTAATTTCTTATTTCATAAGATTTTTCACATAATTTTAGACCAGTACACAAGGTAAATAATACATTTAAATATCTTGCAAAGCATAAATATAATAAGATTTTAAAAATCCAAACAAATTTTCATAATCAACAGTAAAACTAATATTTAGTACAATACGACAGTAGAAGATCAAAACATGTAGAATATAACCACTTAAGAAACCTGTGTTATGGTACAACAACACAAAACAAGGCAAAAAAATCTTAAGATGCCTAGAAAGATATTTGCCATTCTTTTTTAAAAAGCACCAGATTCTGGTGGTTAGTTTTGCATTCCTCAGATGCACAACATGCTGAAGCAAAAGGCTACGTTTTTCAACAGTGAAAGTGAAAATAAATTTTGAAAACTTTTAAACTAATTACAAATGAGTTTTATGTAGAAAAGTTTTATGGTCCTTAGAGGACAGAACTGATTTAAGACCAATCTTCTCACAACTATCTGGATTATTATACTTCTTTTAAACTAAGCAAAGTTACAAACAAAAAGAAGTTTCTTATGTGTAAAGAAAAAGCAGTAATAATTGCATTGTATTCAGATTTGAAAATAAAGTTCCCATACTTATTTTACCTAATTATTAATAAATTATCAAAAATCTAAATGTCTGACTGTCCTCACAATAAAAAATACCTTATACTAACTGAACTATGAAGATTGCTATAATTTAACTTTTGATCTTCAATATAATTTTTTAGATATTTAAGATTATTATCAAGATTTTAGATACAATCAATGAAAATATACCATTTGATACAATGTAGTTCTCAAAGAGAAAAACAGCCAAATTAAGTACATTAGCAAGGATTCTAAGAGAAACAGAAGTGTTAAAATGTTTCTTACAAGGGGTGTGCACACAGTACTCTAAAAACTTACCATCATCTTTAACAGTGAAATCTGTGGTAACTAATGGTGGAACTTTTCCTTTTGTGCTGGTAAAAAATGTACCACTTCTTTCCTTTCTGTCAGCTTCTATTACTTGAACCTAAAAAACATAAATTACATCCTTTAATTTATTTTACTTTATTTTTTTGTTACACACAAGAACAAATACCAATACAAAAACATTTGTTTGTTTGTTTTAAATTTTTGTGCAAAGCTACACAAGGGCTATCTGCGCTAGCCATCCCTAACTTAGCAGTGTAAGACTAGAGGGAAGGCAGCTAGTCATCACCAACCACCGCCAACTCTTAGTCTACTCTTTTACCAATGAATAGTGGGATTGACCATCACGCCATTCAAAAACATACACAAAATAGTTACACATGTAATTAAAATAACAACCAAAAATTATTTTCACAGTAGTATAACTAAGTCAGAATCAATTAATAATATTGTGGATTCTGAGTTCTTTAACAGCAGAAGTTTTTTTTTTTATGTTCTTTGATTTTATTCCCAACAAAACATGTACAAATGTCTAATCCAAATTAACACTTTATTACTCATGGAACAACTGAATTTACAATACAATACATTTGTTGTGTGAAAGTTTGAATCACAGTTAAAAGTTTTAAGTATTCATTCTTTGATATGTATATGAAAGAAAACATGCACAAAATTCAAGATATTGACAAAAAGTATAAATAGTGAAAATCAACATGCTTAAAATTTAAGGAGAGGAAGAAGAACCAATTTTTGCTGACTCTTATTAAGCTTCATTTATATGTTAACACTTTCCTAATCTGAAAAATGTATTCCAACAGATACAACCACACACAGAAATGCTATCTTTTATGTGTGTCTGCCTACAAGATTTGCATGCCTCTAGCCTTGAGGTAACTTCCCCCTAAATTCAAGTGTTTAACATGAATTGTGTTGATGCTTGGTGACATCATCATGCAACAAAGACCCTTCACTGATAGGAGAGCAACACAAGCTCCATGTACAGTACCTTCCCCTATGCACTTACACTCATGATAATGTCATTCTTTCATGAAGCGAGGGGAAAAAATCTGCACTGGAAGTGGGGAGGATGAGTGGAAATGTGTGAAGTGGTAAGCATCTATTGGAAATACATTTTCAGATTAGGAAAATGTTAACTTTTGAGATGATAACTCACCTCTGCACAAAGAAATGATAGAATTCTACACTGAAATGGTGAATCGGCCTGTGCAAATATTTACCTAGATATGCTCCCTTCAGAAAACACCCAAAGGGAAGCCCATGGAGTGTGATATCTGATGGTAGGGGCTCCATATGGACATACCCATGGGAGACTGCATCTCATCTTAACCAGTGTATACTTTTCACCCAGATTGTTGAAGGAGAGGCAAATGAGACCCAAGCATTGCAGAGATAGGCAGAATGAAAACATAACTATCTGGGCACTTTCACAAAAGTGGTAAGCAAGCCAATATGTGTAGTGTAGTTTGGGCACAATCAGACCATACCATGTGTGCACACCTTGATTCTACTGAACAGGCTTTGGTTGCAGAAGAAGGGCAAATTAGTTTTGTGGTATTTATTTTTAGGGGTGACTTGTAATACATTGACGATTTCATCACTGCCCCACTTTTCACTGTACTGTGCTAAGCCCAACCAGTGAGGATTATCCATGGTCCACAACTCCAGGGGCTAGAAACTGGTAAGTGTCTCCAGTGTTCCACTTGAAGAACTTGCATTGGGAAGACTCGGAGAAGTGCCTGGATTCCCATTGGACCACCAGCTGAAAAGGTTGTTTACTGAAAATGGTGCAATGGATGACCACAAAACCCTATTTTTAAAAACTAACAAGTGTGAGCCAAAGAAGTGGACAGAACACTTCTCTGGTGCTGGCTTTTTCCATAGTAGTGAACGGAATTGGCACAGTCTGGATGGGACAATTGAGTAAGTATGAATACCACAACGATACCTCAAGTGGTCTTGCAGAACACTCCATTTCGCAGTAGGCACTGGTAGAGCCAGAGCAGATGGTTTGAGTGCTTTCTATTATCCTGGCATAATATGATTTTGTGATATGAGCACACACTGGGAAACAACACCAACCACTTGACAGAATCATAATAAATGTAAAGGAGAGGTGAAAAAGAAAATATACTTACTCTTTTCAAAGACAATTGGTTTGATTGAAGGGTGCCAACCAGTGGAAATCAAAATCCAGTAGGAGAGGAAACAGCCAGATGGTGTAGATAGTGAGACAAACAAGTGGGAAGTTGTCCATATTCCAGCTTGGAGGATTTCATCCAAAGACAGGCAAAAATGGAAGCAAGAGAATAGGTCAGGTGACGAAATGTGGAAGAACCTGCAAGCATATACCAACTGGAGAAATTGATAGAGCCATCTAGTAAGGGTAGAAGGAGGGGGATCTGTGGAGGAAGAGGGATTCCAGGGTACAAAAAGATAATGATGGGACCAAAAGAAGAGAAGTGGGTGACAAGTAGCATTGAACAGCCCAGACTGGACACAGTAGCTGATTCAAGTCTGAACAATTGTAAGGGTGAGTGATAGAAGGAAGTGATATAGGAGAGAAAGTGCAATCATCTTTCCTAGCAGTAGAAGTCTTAGGAATGAAAAACCAGTCTGGCTAGAGAGAATACAGATGTGGTCAAAAAGAGTACAAGAAGAATTAATTGCATAGATATCTAAACATCAAACATGGGTGAGAAGGAAGAGAAAACAAATCTCAAGAGAAAGGTGGTATAAGGAGCAAGAAGCCAAAAACTCAAAAGGTTCACACATGAGAGCATGAAAAACTATATTAAGGTCCCAGGTCGGCCCGGGAGTTGGGTGAGGAAGTTGGTGAAACAAAAAGAAGTGGAGAGTATAAGGGAAGAAAACACCCTGTGGTAGTGGGAAAGGTCTAATGTAGTGGATAATGCCACCTGAAACAATGTTGAAGGCTGAGGACTTTCCTCAACTTGTAGGGCCATGATGTCCTCCTCAGTTAATGATCCCACTGACCCCATTTTAAAGACAGGGCCTGTGCATGTAATATCATCACTTACATAGGACAAAGTCACCATCGCTTGAGAATTAATTATAATAAAGTAAAGCTGCAAAGACAAAAGACAAAGTATAATGAAAAACAAAGTTTCATTATTGAAGGCAAATCTCATCCAATTGAAGCCATACAAAATTTAAACATGTAGGTTCAATACAGTGCGGAGGAAAAGAATAGATGATGTTATCATGAGTGCAAGTGTATATGGGTAGTTACTATGCATGGAGGTTGCATTATCCTCCTACTGGTAGAGGGCTTTTGTTGAAAGATGTCATCATGCACTGGCACAGTTCATGTTAAATACGTGAATTTAGGTGAGAATTACCTCAAGAATAGTGGCATGCAAATCTCATAGGACATGCAAACATGTTTGAGAAATTGAGTTGATGTCCTGAAAAAACATTTTACTAGTTTATAGACAACTTCAGTGAAAATTAAAACACTTTCATGAATCTTCAACTGGTATTCATCCTCAGCAATTAACTATACTATAAATGTCAGTTGTACTGGTTATGATGGCATTACCTAGAGTCAGTATATGTGTTGAGCACTGCTGGAAGTATTACCATAAATCTTAAGTGTGCCACATGGTTCAGTGTATCATGGATAGCATTATCAACCAAACCCTGATAAAACTGGTTACGTTGTTAAGAATTACTTGGTTTTGCTTATTCCACAACATACCATTTAAAAAAGAAAAAACAATTGTAATAGTTTTGCCATATTCAGGGCTGTATTCACATTTGATTAGGAAATAAGTAACTACATAAAGGAAATTACACCCACAAGAAATTCATTTCTTCTCAAGGATGTAGTTTTCAAGATAAAATAATAAATCATTAATTATTATTATTTTTATTATTATTAATTTATTATTATTATTGTACATAAAAATGTGTAGGTTCCACCACTTGGTGGCTATTCACTGATATGAAAGAACATACTCCAAAAAGACCAGAAAATAATGCAGGATTGCTGATCTTATACTAACTAAATGCAATGTCTTCAAAACAACTATAAACTTTAATATAGTTAGTATAGCCAAGGAGGTACAGCAGTTGAGAGAATTCACAAGTCATTTTTACTATCAGTATGTTTTACTTACATACTTTTTGTTACAAAAATTATCAAATAGTATTATTTGAAGATAGATTTATATACGGAAACATCTG